GTTTGTCTGTATGTCGGTATGTCGGTCTGTCCGCGCGGGTTACTTTGTGATTATGATAAAGGTAGTGATATGGAAAACTTATTCTTCTTATATAAAAAGCAGTCACTTCGTGGGTAGGCTAATGGAGTAAAGTGAGCACTGCGGAGTGAAGTGAGTAATATGAAGTGAGGTGGATGATTCAAATTGTGATCTCTACTGTACTGTAATGGCAGTACTTCGACACTTGTAAGGTTATATATGAAGATGCCATGCCGCCACGCTCGGTGGGCTGGGAAAACGGCTGACCGCTAATTGAAGCGTGATAAATCCACAAAAGCGGAGCGCTACTATTAGGGTTTATGGATGGAGTCTGCCGAAAATTCCGCAATAGTCCAGATTTCTCGCGGAATTTTCCGGAAGCTTTCTCGAAGTTTATCTTGAGCAGCACCAACACATTGCATCACTTATACGCATAACCTAAAAGGCCATTTATTCCTTTTTTCAACTGTATAATGACCGAGCTGTCCACAGGCTTTTAACGAGAACTTCGTCATGACTCGAATCCGCCCACTCAGCTGCTAAAACCCATTGAAACAGCCGCCAAGTTTTTGAACTCGATAATTGGTTCTATGCACATCTTCACTGCCTGAAAAAAACATGATTCGTTTCGCTTCTCACTCGGACAAATCACGTTGTTGCGCTTATTCATGAGGCTCATCCAGTGACTTAGAGCCATAGGCATGTGACTGAAGTACCGAAAAATATAAAATTCGTACTTGAACTTACTACTGAAGCTATTATCTCTGCAAGTTCTGTGTTTTTTACATAATAATGTATTCAATCGTGTAGTTTCCCTTTATATTATTTCCATGGAAACTTTCAAAAGTCCCTTGAGGAATATGGATACTGGGAAATTTCCTGTGAATGCTTAATGAAACCTAATTATAATACACAGAACATTAAGACATTCCAAATGGCTGGAGCTCTCTCAAGAGTAAGCTGATTCCAGTCCACCTGAAGAATATTCTGAAACGGTCCCGTTCCAATTTCGTTTCGAGGAAGAAAAAAGGGCAAGTCGAAAGCTTTTGATTATCGAATTGGTTTTTTTGGAACTTTTCTGGAAAAGTCTCACCACTGTATGGATGGTACCTTTTAGCGTGAAAAATATTACGTGAAGCACTTTATCTTAAGTTAAATACTATTTGTGTTAAGGCATCCGATGTTTCTCAGGAATGCATTTTCTCAATCGATTTAGCTGTAGGTATGAGTAAAACCCATTTTATTTCAACTGGGCAGTAACAGCTGCCAATCACCTACCCAAATCATGGAAAAGCAGGATCTCAATATTACACCGATCGAGAACATTAGAAGATTTGGACTACTTTTGAAAGAAGCAGACGGACTGGAAGCACTGCCTTCTTCTCAATGCCACCCGTGGTTTTAACAAGTAACAATATTGAATGGATTCGCGACTATTCAGCATTTTGCTCGCATTTATCTTTACAAATGAAAATTTCACGAGAGAATTGACATCTGGATTTCAGAAAGAAAAAACTACTGGAAACGAGATTTCCTCAATGAACTTCGCTTCTCGGAGGAAGATGAGCGCCAGACGGTAATTCAATACTTGCATTACACATTGTAGGTATGTGTCCATGGAAAAAAAACATTCGTCTCTCTTTCACCTTTGTCGTTCGATTTCAAGTCAATGCAACATCCCTCATCACTACGTAGAGATGACTTCAGGTCCTTTACCTGTGTAATGTTGAAGGGAAATCGTTCCCCATCGACTTTTAGCAGACAACCTTTCATGAGAGCGAAGCATTTCAGGCGCGAGTCTCGTCGATGGCGAGATCCTCTGGAAAAGGCTCTACGGCCGGAGAATATACTACTCAAAGAAACCAATGCGAGCAAGGCGAAAGCGTCTGACGTATGTAGCGTTCTCTTTTTTTTTTGTTGACAATTTCCTACATATTTTTTCGGGCATGTCTACATATTTTCCAGTGTTTGAAACATTTTCCCTCTATTTTGAACAAATGAGCTCAGAACGGCCCTTTGTTGTTGAAAATCGTTCTAAACCGTCTCTAATTTCCTAGTTAATCTCCCACCAAGAAAATTCTGAAAAGCGTCGGGTGAGAGTATAAAAAATCCTAACGAAAAAGAGTTCAAACTCACTTTTTGAGAAAGAAGAGATCATGATTTCCATTTCTTAATTCTCCGTATACATGGATATTTCTAATCGCCATTGCTTTGACCGCTTTTTTTTTGAGGGATTTTTATCCGTGCCTTTGGGTTCCCAATCTTCCGGCTAGTCTCTTCTAGAGCTTTTTCCAGTTGACGCAATTGAAATAAACTCTTTGATTCTTCGGTTACAGCACTTTTGAGAAAGTACAACAAGAAAAAGTTTTCAAGTAGCTTGAAAAACCCTACAGAAGTTCTGTAGCTACAACAAACTTCCCATGCTTCAATCTGATGTATATGTAGCTCAACATTTGGGCCATTACTCCCTCGTTTTCCGGTCCCAAATCGCGAAAATCTCATCAATAGTAAACGTATTAACTTGATCGCGGTGAATGCTGAATGTTGTAGCTTGTTTGGACTAACTTAAAGCAGATTTAGAAACCATGTACTATTCAGTTTTCAGGCTATTCTTCTACTCGGCAGGGCTATTGAAGAATGTGGAATTGAAAACGAAATCGCGACTTTTTTGAAGAAAAAATTCGACGAGAAGCATGGTAAGATCAATATTGCAGAGTCACGTGAACGATTCAATGAAATGGTTCCGAGGAAACCACACTTTTCTCTCTGAAGTTCACTATGTACCAGGGAGGCATTATACAAACACCTTTAAAGAACTTACCTACAAATCAGGCCTCTATCACTTATACGTTTGATTTATGGTCACTGACACCATTATTCTTGTATAGTTGCCCAATTAGTTCTTACGAACTGGAAGTTCTTGAGCAAGTTCCCACATTGGCAGGTTTTTCTGGTGCATCGTTGCTTCCATTTGGTATGCTTTTACAATATCATAACTATTATTCGGAGGCGTTTTTCTGCTAAATGGGCTCTGCACCATAATGCGTGCATCACAACAAAGATTGCATGGGACAGAAATGAATTTTTTGATCTTTATTGAAACAGAGTTATGAAGTTCTCTCAATCCGCCGCCCATGCCGGTGCTTGTTCCGTCACTATGGGCTGAGCTCCCAAGCTTTTTTGATCTTGCCCGAGGCCCCGTCCATTCTAAACATGACCCGACCTCTTCAGGTGCTTCAGGTATAGCGATTTGTTGGGACCGACAGGCAGACAGACAGGATTCTCTACAAATAGTAAGTAGTGGTAATAACATGGAACATTACGATGGTAATAATTTGAAACAGTACGGACGTCCTTGGACAGAGTTGCGTACATTTGATTGTAGCTCTGCCCAAGTGCAAGTGCCCTCTTTTTAGGGATTAGACCATTCTTCCTTTGACAGCTTCTATGCACTTTTTTCCGTGCTTTAGAATATTTCTGTACAGTGTGGCGAAATTATAATTTAATGGTAAGCCCCGATTCCTCAGCGCGAGCTCTGCCATCTTTGAGAATTAGACCGCACCCCTTCTACAGCTTTGACCATATTTTTTCTAGATTCTAAAATTTTTTCGAACAGGTTATACATCTTAAAAGTACCTCTCATCCGAACGCACACCTCGCCCACCGTGCTTTTGCCTTCATTTAATCGAGTTATAAAATTGTGATAAGTACCGCGCACTGCAAAAACGCTCCGCCCACCGTGGGTGAGTCTCTATCATTTTAGCTTTAACCCATCCCTCACACCTCCTGCTGCTCTACTTCCATCATTCATTTATGTTTCTGATTACAAGACTCTTGTGCCGTGCGAGGTTGTTAGGTGCAACATTTATTAGTCAACGGCCTAACGCTTCGACGTTCTCGCCTTCTTCAGAGGCCAAGGTTCCACCATTCAAGCGAATATAAATTCCACGGCACAAGAGTATTGTAATCAGAAATATTTATGCCGAGGTTAAAGCAAGAGAGAAGTTGGAGATCATTCTTTTACACTTTGGCGGTTGGCGGTTACTCAGTTGACGTCAGAGCTCATTTTCCCCACCGATGGGGCATTCCGTTGCGTCAAATGTTTCCTAATAAGGCTCCAAGAGCACTCAAGCTTCTATGTAAGTTCTCTTGTAGTTTGGCATTGACCGGACTCAATTATGTCCGGCAATTCTTTCTTATTCACATACTCGGATGGTTTGGCTAGTTAGCCAATGGAAGTCTTAACCAGTGACGTGTAATCTTT